CCGGCCCGCTCCCGGCGCCGCCTCGCACCGGCGGACGGCGGGGCGGGCGCTGGAGGGGGCCTCCCCCGATAGCCCTGAAGCCTGCAGGCAGGTAGTCGAAGCGGAGGGCTGAGAGCCGATGCTGCGCTCCAGCTTCACAGGTAGTTCGGAACAGAAAGTCCCACAGACTGGCACGCAGCGATGGAAGACGAGGACACTGTTAACTGCCAGGCCTCAAAAGCCGTGCTCCACACCTTGTTCTCACACCATCTGACTTCCAAACCTTCCCTTCCTCACTTCCCCATGCAAAAATTGTTCCATTCCATGCTCACCTCCTAGCTTTATTTTCCCCATCTGGCAGTTGTCTAAGAAACAACACATTTTGCTCACCGTATGTCTAGGCCTTCCATCCATAGGACCAAAGTGAACAACCCTACCGCTACATTTTTCAGAATTGATCACACACTGCCCAGCTCCAATCTGATTGAAGCACCAAGCTGTGGCACTTGCTCTGCACATAGCTTACCAGTACAGCTGGCAACAGAACCAAGCATGCTGGCAAGTTTCAGGTCTCCTGGCTGCACAGGCTCCCCAACACCACCTTTGTAAAACAGGACAGCGCACAGGCAACAGTGCATCTTCTGGTCAGTGGCAGAATAGGGTAGCAAGTCTCTATTAAAGAGTTAACCATAACCATGGAAGGCTAGGGGCATCAGGAAGGGACACATTCAACTGGAATTGATGTTTAGCCAAGCATGTTAAAAAAAACACCTATAAAAGGTTGATATTTACTACCTGTAATAGACTGCGATGTTGAGGTGAGGAAGCAGAAGTACAGGTATCCCTGGGTATCCCCCCATGTGCTGGTCTACTACAACAGTTTGGCATAACGTGGAACCACTTGCACATGGCATTACCAAAACACTTCAACATGACCCAAATTCTTTCCTGTAGCTATAGAAAAATATACAAAATTAATTTCATTTTCCATATTTAAACTGGATCTCAGGCCAGATCAAGAGAATTTATTGGGCTGTTATTTTCTTAAAGGGGCACTGAGGGAGAAGATACACATTGCATCTCCTCCAAGCCCTGAACAAACATTAACGCTTCCAAAACAGTTCTGGTAAGCTTTGAACAAAGGCTACACTTGTCTTTAAGTACTCCTCCCTCAAAACAACAATTCTGTATCTAAGTTAGGCCTCAGAATTATACTGCACCTACTTATACTGTTTAATTTCTCCCTCAGACTAATTCCTGCTCAGGGATGCAGATCAGCGCATGCAAATGGTCCCTGAATGGTTTAGGTCCTTCTCTTGTTTCCAAGACCTTTAGTATTCCTGGAAGAAAGTAGTAAAGTTTAAAATATGTATCTAAAAGCAGGAGACAACTAAAGGAAAAAAAATCAAACCCAAGACAAACAGGATCTTAACCATTTTGTTTAATGTTGTACAAAAAAAATTTGGTGAGTATTACAATGAAAAGTGATTAAAACACTGATATCACATTGCCATCTCACTACCTAACAGCTGAGATTCACTCCTCTATTCATACAATAGAAAGTTTAGTGGCCTTCAGGAAAAGAATGACATAAAAAAAATCCTTGCGTCACACATATTCTTTTCTCTACATCTTAAAGCTGTGCTCACAGAGACGGCTTCTTCTATCAGACTCTTCAGGTATACAGGAATTCAGTTGTAAATAAAGTTGAACCTAAAATTAAAATGATTATATCAAGTGAGGGATTTTCATTCTTTTTGACATTTTTGAATGAATAAGCAAATGTTTTTTTTCTGCTCTTTGTAAGCCTCCATCTGACAGCACAAAAGTGTATTTTTTAGTAAGACAGCTTTATCATACAGCAGGAAGCACATTCTCAAGAGAAGAGCTAATTCTTCTTAACTAAGTTTCACCACAAGCAGCAAAAGCAAGCATCCATCTCAGCTTCCAGATGTCCATCCTTTGGATGTGTCTGCTGCACTGGCACCAAACGCATTTGGCTGCTTAACAGCTGCTACTCAGGAGAAAGTAGGGGAAGGGGAAGCCCCATAGCTACAACTGCCAAAATTGGGGCTAGACAGAGAAAAAAAATCAGCACGATGCAAGCCTGCTATGGGCAATACCAGTGTTGACATTCTGCTAACAGACTTTTTTGATCAAAGTAGGTGGATGACAGAACTACTTCCCTGAGTAGCGGCTGCCAGGCTGTGAGATGCCTGATGTCCCTGAACGTTTGCTGCGTAACAGAACCCAGTGAGACTAGTGAGCTCTGGAGACCCAAGGTACACACCATTCTCAGGTAAGAAAGCCAAACAGTGTGCACGTCAGGAAAAGGAAGGCAAAAAATACAGCTGTCCCTACTTGTGTTATAAACTCTACTACACAGAATCTAAAAGAACCCATCAGGTTTATTCAGCACAAAGCTGTGATAACGTGCACACCTAACTCAGCACTTCAAACACACGTCTGGGCTTTCACTCTGATGCTGCCCCAGCGCATATAAGAAGCTGCTCCTTAGCCTGCGCAGTTTCATCCTCACGCTCTTTCACATCTTCTTTTGCTACAACTGCTAGATCGCACTTTGGTGCTAGGAAGTTGCAGTCAGTGCCTCTAAACTGTCCGTCACATCTTGTCTGAAGTAGATTCTAAGCTCTTTGGGATAGCTGCAACCTTTTCAAGGTGGTTTCTGTAGTGGCCAGCCTTGCTCTGGTGTCCCACAGCAAATGTGTCCCCAAGAACTACAATATAAATAAATCATAATATACCTGCTCAGAAGTTGAGGAAGGCTGGAAATAATGGGTCCATATCCTGGTGCATTGTCATAGAGCTCAAACAATGGTGCAGCAACCAGCTTGTAATTTTTTGGGACTGCAAACAAAGCTAAAAAGAAATATAAGTTGATTAGTAAGAAAAACCACCACACAGTCAAAGTATCACTGCCCGTCACACACCTCAAAAGTTCACTACATATAGCACTATAGTAGGCTTATTCCTTTTCTGGTTAAATAAGGTGTTCATACACTGTACATATACTGATGCAGGAGCAGAATGAGCATTTACCAGGCACTCATATTCAAAGGATCACCTACCTTCAGAACTGATATTGGCATTTAACTTTTTTAGCAATCAGCTATAAACAACTGCAAGCATATGAACACAAACTTGTTGCTACATCCCTCTGCATGAAATGCAAGAATTTAGACAGTTAGAAATACAGTCCTTTGTTGCAAACACTCACTTACCCTTTTCTTGAAGCTGGACCAAGAAAAGCTTTTTGTGCTCTTTTGGTTTTGTAATATGAGCTGGGATATAGGGATACTGGAAGAAAAACAATAAAAATTCGTTGTACGGAGCTTTGAAAATGTTGTGCAATCTTAAGTGCCACTTTATAAATGATCATGCAGGCTTTCAGCATCTCATATATTGTTCTTTCATGGCATCAAATAATGACAACCACTTTTGTAAGAAAGCTCTCAGGAAGGAACGCTGTTGCTGTCACAACTATTGACAGGGTCTAAAGAGGCACCAATACACATGAGCAGTCAAAACATCCCAGTAAGACAGAAATGCTTAACAGCAAACTGAACAAGTATTTTCTATATTAAAGCATTTACAAATAGGGTAGCAAAACTATTTTTTTTCACAGGACATCTGTTCCACATGCAGCAGTGCAACAGTTTCCATTGTGACTACAACAGGAACTGAAATGGCTGTCTGGCTCAGCACAGGACTGGAAGCTGTTACCTCCAGGGGTTTCTCATCCATCAGGATGGGTGTGAGGAGGAAGACCAGAGTTTCCAGGAAAAAAAAAGTTTGTTGTTTCTCCTCAGCCATAAAAAGGAGATGAAATACGTAAAAAACAGAAAACTAACTGCTCATGCAGCAGGTATTCAAAAAGCCAAACTGGTAAATTAAAGGCTTTTCAAAGATCAATATTTGACTGAAGAAGATGAAAGTCAACATGATTACTCACCTGTGGAGGTTCAAAGTTCGGTCTCCACCAGTTACCGATGCAGTCATCAATCACCCAGTCTTGCTGAACACCATCCTGACGACCCAGTATCTACCAAAAATCCAGTTACAGTCAAAACTCTAATTAGCCCAAGCCAATTTTTTTTAGAAAACACATACTGGAAGCATGAAGACTTACTGTAATAAGGGTCTGATGTAGTTCAGAACTGTTCTGAAGAGCTTTTAATAGAATTTTAAAACATTTTTGCATAAAGTGACTTTTTTTTAGTAAAAGCCTCACCTGACAGGACAAGTACACTTTCAAGAGCATTTCAAATTCTACGTTGTATTCAGTTGAACCGTGTCCTGCCAGACCAATGGGAAGAATGAAATGCATTGTTAATCTATGTGACAGTATTAATTTAGGTTACTTGGAGAGCCCGGAAGGTTAATTGGTGCATTGGGAAGACCATCTCAAAGGCAAGTCCTCATCAGTTGTGCTCTGAAACATATTTTTTTGCCTATCTGCACGCTCGCTTGCCTGAAGCAAGCCAAAAAGCAAAGCTGCAAATGAACACAGGACTTGAGCAGCAATTAGGAAACCAGCCACTAGACCATTCTGTCACATTCATGACGCAGACAAATGAAAACTTACTGCTTTATTCGTTAACTGCCTGAGAACATCACAAAAGCATCAACATAACAGAAACAGTAAGGAGACTACTCTAATGCCATGGCTTATTCTGTTAATTCTAAAATAATCCAACATTCCAGTATAGCAACATAATGAAAGAAACAGACCTCTGTCATTAAGCGTTTGAGCCCTTCTACCTCATCTTCTCCTGGATTGAGTTCACCACCAGGTCTGTTAAAATAATCAATGATGAAAGCTAAAGTTATGTTTTATTGCATTTACCAACTTTCACAGGTAACTTTGGATGTGTTTCCAGGCAGGGAACTACAAATTCACTCAAGACCCTTAAGTCAGAAGTTCCAAATCTAACTTTGCTGAATTTGAAAACAGTAGGATAGCTTTCATCAAAACCATGACTAAAATGGCTACTCTGTGTCCCTTAAAAAAATAGCTATTATATAAAATACTTTAACTTCGGCAGGACAGAGTGTAAAAATATACATGATAATGACTGGGACACTTAGAAGGCAGAATTTTAAAAGCACCAGAAGTTGAAGAGAGTTGTAAATACCGACTGTATTTGGTTTTATCTCAAAAAACAGCACCCACTGAAGCACACAGAAGCAGAAAAAACAACTCACAAGGGGAACCATCCTGCATTTGATGCAAGGTTAATGAAAAAAACTAATAACACATTTTCATCATTACAGAGTTTTGCAAAAGTTCTGGAGTCTAGCCTATTTTGTCCCCCAAGTCAAGACATCCCCCAAGTCAAGACGTTAAAAAAGAATCTGGATATAAAATTACATTTCAGACACACATTTGAGAACAAACCATGTAAATGCTAAAAACATAAGAAAAAGAACAAGCAGAATAACTTGATATAAGTCAAGCCCATCCAGTTTAAAAGAGAAAACAAGCACCACCACCATCACTATGGCCCTAAAATATAACTCCAGCAGTGATAACTATGAGACAAAGGGAAGCAATTTTCCCAAATTCAGATGCCCACCTTTCCTGACCTCCCCAGCTCACCCAGTAGTTTGTAAACAGTCACCATTCTGCATTTACTGGGGTTTATTCCTTGAGCTTCACTATACCATTTTGGCAGCCATAGCATAAGCATATTTAAGCATAACAGCTTTCACAATGTAAGAACAACACACTAACTACTGATAATGAGTTTTAAACAGGATTTTACCACAGTAATGCACCATAACTAAGATTTCCAGTTGGTTCCAAACTAAGTCACTTCACTCATGAGCAGTCAGACCAATACACTTGAGGTGAAAAGCCCACCATTCAAAACAGCTTTCCCAGACTAGTCTTTGCAAGAATTAATCATTCAAAGCATTTATCAGTTGGCCACATTTTAGCCCACATGTTTAGCAGTCTGTGACAATAAAGTTAAACTAAAAGTTACGTTCAACAAACAGACACTTACAGCTTGAAAAAAGTTGTACCCAGTTGCAGTAACAGCACATGGGGCAGCCTGTGCTCATGCACAATCAGAACACCTTCCACTGTCCGCCTCATGCCAATCTTGTCAAACTCTTCCCTCATGCGCTGAAACCGAGCTGCCACAGAACTGTCCTTCTCATACAGGGGCTCCTTCGTACCAAATGTATAATTTGTCAGAGGATACCTGTACGGGGGGGGAGGGGGGAAAAAATGTTACTGTATAACAAGAAATCTACATTTAGATCACCATGGCACAGCATCTACCCTAGGGCAGAACATTCTGCACTTGATGGAATAGCAACTCCCTCAGAGCGCTGGGCTAGAAATTTTTGTTTGTGACTTGTGGGGCCCTGTCACAGGAAGATCTGCACTACAATACCTACGAGTGCAGTAGATCCTGCTGATCCACACATTAGTGTGGTGCCAATTCAAAAGGAGGAAAGCAGCCAGGAAGAACCAGCAGCTACTGTTACTCAACAGCCACCCTCTTTGATCTCAACACCACAGAGAAAAGGCAGCTATGGCTCTGAGAGGAGCCTGGAAAGGGACAGGAGAGAAAAAGCTCTGCTGGGAAGGAAGCAAGCTACACAGGACAGTGCGTGGGGTTTTTTTCCTGCAGAAGTAATGAAACGCCTGAGAACTAAACTGTTAGAAGTGGTTTTGTTTTGAAGTGGGAAATCAGACATCTGGATGACAGAAGATGAGAAATGCTGAGTGTCTTAAGTGCAGGGCCAGGAGCCTGGGGTAAGACCAAGAGTTTGAGCAGATCACTGTTGGGCTAGGTGCTGGAACTCTACATTCTCTCATGACAGTACAGCAGAAACTGGAGAGATTTCACCAGGTAAGAAAGACTGAAGAGAGTCAGAAAAGAAAGGAAGGAAATCAGTCAGTCCTAGAGAACACAGAGGGCAATGGGAGAACATTACTGTACAACAAAAGCCAACAGAGATCTGATAGCATGAGGCCTGGAGGGATGACAGGATCATCTGGCTAAGCCAAAAAGGGAGAGGAAAATGGGCTCTGGGCAGAGCAGTCTGAATTATCACCATGGTTTTATTGACCTGTGGCAACTGAATCAACAGAATGACTGATTTCACAGGGAATATTTTCCTTGAGATGCATCTTGTCAAATAAGTAGCATGCCCTCTTCTCCCCCTCATATTTCCCCCCTCCAAATCTTCCTCAGGTTTTACTGTGGTGAAATCACAAGTCAGTTGCAGTTGTTAGAGCCCTTTCTCATGTACACAAGTGAGCCAAAACAATCAGCTTCCTAATCAGATTCACTTTTTAGCAAGTTCCCCCACTCACTTACAGCTTAGAACCATCTAAATTTATATTTCCATTCATTTCCATTTTGAGATATACAAATAACTTTATTAATAATCTACTATGCTAATCCATACTATACTAATGTGGGTACATTTGTCTGTACATCAAAACCCTTAGCCTATAACTTAAAAAAAGAGATGCTGGTAACACAGCTTCCCATTGAGTCTTTTCTTCAGAAATACTATTAAAATATTCTATTCTATGAAGTTCATATTTGAACTTCCACAAGATTCTTAACTGTGCATAAACTCAGCTGTACCAAAAAAATGCATGAGTCTGCAATTAATAGCTAAAATTGAGTATTGACTGTTAAAGTTAACATTTGCTGTTTCTGCAGCTTATCAGATGTACTCTGCAAAGAACACATCCACCAGAGTTTACTGGAAGAAGTTAAAGTATATGGCTTGTCATTTAAAGTAAGTAAATATTTATTAACAAATAGTTTGTATCTATGACATATTTTCTCTGATAGGAAGCACTCTGACTTTAAATTTAAATACCTGCCCCAGACAATGAGCAAAGACCAGGCATATCTAATCACATCCCACTGACTACGAGACAAGCCCAAATCCCATCTAGGCCAGCAGCCCGCTCCTCCCTCTGCCGCCAACGCGCATTGATTCCGAGGAAAGCACACACAGGAAGCGCAGGCCAGGTGATGTTCACCGTGTCTAAGTACTCCCTCTGTTACTCGGGGTTCGCGCTTCCCGAGTCAGATGCTGTTTCTATACACTAAAGCATACTAAACGTTCCACGTTCCCTCGATCGCTAACAAGCTTTTAGCACCCACAACATGCTGCAGTGAGGGGGTTAGTGGGGGGACAGACCCCTCGCCGGCAACCGGCTTTTCCGCCGCTTTCCCCTCAGCCCCCCGGGCCAGCGGAGGGCCAGGACCCCGGGTGGCCCAGGACCCCTGGCGGCCCCTGCGCGGCAGGTACTGAGGGGAAACCTCCCGCAGGCTGCCCAAGGGCGGCGGCCCGGGGGCGTTCACCGAGCGGGGAAGGGCGGTGCGCGGCCACAAAGGGCCAGTGACAGGGCGGGATAGAGCGGATCCTCTCTATGGTCGCGCCGGAAGCGCGGTGGGCGGGAGA